GGGAGGGCTTTTGTGGGAAGGAAAAGTTATGAAGACATGGAAATGTGATGAAAGTACAGGTAATTTGGGGGGATGGTTGGTTTATTTAGCAGGGGGAGGAAAGAGCTGGGGGAACAAACAAGCCCAGACTGGTCGTAGGCACTTAGGGTGGTGCCTGGCATCCACGAGGCATCTCAGAAGCACAGTGATAGGAGTAAGTACGACACCGTACTAAGCTACTGCAAGGCATGTGAGGGGTGAAGAAGTGGGAAAAGAGGGGCGCCTGGGTGGCTCAGTGGGTTGAGCCTCTGCCTTCGGCTCAGGTCATGATCTCAGGGTCCTGGGATCGAGTCCCGCATCGGGCTCTCTGCTTGGCAGGGAGCCTGCTTCCTCCTCTCTCTCTCTCTGCCTGCCTCTCTGCCTACTTGTGATCTCTGTCTGTCAAATAAATAAATAAAATCTTTAAAAAAAAAAAAAAATAAATAAAAAAAAAAAAAAAAAAAAAAAAAAAAAAGAAGTGGGAAAAGATCAAGGTGCCAGAAAGGATCCCATGACATCACCCCACCCAGCAGAGAAACCCACCCCAAAAGTGGGACCTGGCTCAGTGACAGAGGGCTGTCCTTCCAAGAGTGGGGGCTAGGAAGGCCCCAGCGTCCAGGGACAGGAGCTCTTGTTCACCTGAAAATCACATCTCAGGGCAGGAACGGCTCCCAGAAAACACTCGACCGGGAACGTCCAAGCCAGCAGCGGTCCCCTCTGCAGCAGCCCACCTCTAGCTACCTTTACAACGCGGGACACACGGCCAAGTCAGCTTTCCTTTAAAGAAAGTTTACTGTGGTTTGAGATGGTTTCGAAATCACTGGCCTAATCCTAGACTTTCAGTGCAGATGGGGAAACCGAGGCTGAGATGGAAGAATGCCCTACATGGGGATCAGCCAGGCGTGTGAATGAGCCGCAGATCCAGGCTTGGGTCAAGCCTGTCGCTGTTCCTGGGCACCTACTAAGGGCTGGGGTCCTGCGGGTATATGCCTGGCTGCTATTTGGGGTTTTGGATCCCTGGCCAGATGAGCAGGGGATGAGTTGGACCCCTCAGAGTTGTGTGGTACTTAGCAGGCAAAGGCACTCCTTCCCTAGAAACTGACATGGAGGCCCCGCCCTGTGGGCCGGAGGTGGGTTCTCTGGGGCGGGGCGTGGTCAGCACTGGCTTTGTCACCTGCCCAGGGAAGAGGCAGGTTTCTCTAAGGGACTCCAGAAAACTCATCTCTCTCTCACCCAGTATTTATTGATCTCTTCTCCCAATTAGGCTCTGTGCCACATGCATTTAAGTGTGAACACATTAAATTGTTTCACAATCCATGAAATTGGCACTCTATTAGTAAGCCCGATTTACAGAGGAGGAGAGTGAGACTGGAGAGGTTCAGTCACCCAGCTGGTGGGGGTGGAGACCAGGATTTGAGCCCTCGGACTACCCTGAGGGCCCCTACTTAAAAAAAACAAAACATAGGAAAAGAACTTGTATTTAAATAGAAATTGCAGGAATGACAGAATTTCTGCAGAATTTCACCCAGATTCCCTGACTGCTAAGACTTAGTCACAGTAACTTTATCATTCCCCACCTATCTTGTTCTCAACTGTTTGAGAGTAAATTGCAGACACCGTGAACCTTTACCTCTAAATATTCCAACATGTGTTTCCTAAAATCAAGGACAATCTCTTACCTGACCACAGGACAACTACCCAAATCAGGAAATTAACACCCAGAAGAGTCTATTAGCTAGTCAACCGACCTTACTGGGACTTGACCAGCTACCTTCGTGATGTCCTTCATACCAACGGGAAATCCTGGATCCCACACAGCTTCGGTTGTCCTGTCTCCTCTAATCTGGAACAGTCCTGTCTTTGTCTTTCAGGATCTTGTCTTTTTTTTTTTTTTTTTCCAAGATTGCATTCATTTATTTGATATATAGAGAGAAAGAGCATGAGCTGGGGGAAGGGCAGAGAGAGAGGGAGAAGCAGATTCTGTGCTGAGACGCAGGGCTTCATCCCAGGACCCTGAGATCACAACCTGGAGCCGAAGGCAGACACTTAACAGACTGAGCCACCCACACACCCCAGTCTTGTCATTTTTTTTTAAAGCATGCAGTGCAGTTATTTTATAGGGCTGCTCTCAGTCTGGGTGTGTCTCCCATTTCCTCACGATCACATTCATGGTGAGAGTTTCTGTCAGCTGCTCCACAGAACTGATGCTGTGTCCTCCTCCGGGCATCGTTCAGGGGACACATGAGTCAGTTTGTCCCGTTACTGCTGAAAGCAACCTTGATCATTTAGCCAAAGTGTTATCTGCCAGGTTTCTCCACTGTAGAAAGATTATCTTTCCATTTCCAATTAATAATTACATTTAGGGGGTGCCTGGGTGGCTCAGGTCATGATCTCATGGTCCTGGGATGAGCCCCTTGTTCGGCTCCCTGCTTAGTGGGGAGTCTGCTTGCCCCTCTCTCTGATCCTCCCCCTTGCTTGGGCACTCTCTCTCTCAGAGTCTTTAAAAAAACTATATTTAGGGTCATGCTTTGAAACTATAAAACTATATACGTTTCTCATCAAATTTTCATATCCATTGATGATTCTTCTTGGATCCATTATTACTAGAATGCTTGTCTAATGGTCATTTTCTAACTCCATCATTCCTTCTGCTGGAAGAAGGAGCTTTGTCTTCTATTCATTCATTCATTCATTCATTCATTTATATTAGTATGGACTCATTGATTCTTCTCTTATTTAATGGGTTATGATCCATCATTACTGTTATTTTTTTTATATTTCAATTGTCCTAGATTTGTCCAGTAGGAACCCCCCTTGCAAACCACGGAGCCGCCACTTTCAAATACGACATTGCACTACGTCCCTTGGCCTTGTCCAGAAAGGGAGCCATGTCTGTGGGCAAGCAGTCTCTGCGCGTGGGTACTGAAAGGCTGACCCCCTGACATGGGCAGGCAGGGCATGGGAGCAAAGGATTTAGGCAGCACGGGGTCCTTGGGTGTTGTGCAGGTCGCTGGGGACTCATTCACTAGTTGAGCACCTATAATGAGGCCTCTGAAATCAAACTCTACTAAATCAAGGGAAAGAGGAGCCTGGCCTGTGACCAAGGCTCCACACAAAGACCATCATCTAGTCGATGGGTCCTACGCCTTCCACTGCCAAATAAGGTAGGCGCTATGATGTCAGTTTCACAGAAGTTGTGGCTGTTGCAGTGACAGGCACTTCAGACAATGAAAACAGCATGAGCAAGGACAAGGGGTATGAACGGCGACACTCCCCCATTTTGCATCCTTCACCAAAGCTGCCCCTTTTGAGTGGAGCTCCAGGCACTGAATATAAATCTTGCATTTATACTGTAACCTACTCAGTTGGGCACAGCCCTAAATATCTGGACCCGGAATCTATCCGGTCCAGATTCAAATTCCAGTTCTTGTACTTCCGAGCTGGGTGGCTTTGGAAAGTCACTTGACCTTTCTGAGCCTCCACTAATATATTTCCTCGACAAGTATTTACGGAGGGCTCACTATGTGCTGAGCACTGTTCCAGGAACGTGACATGCCGTGGTGAACAAGGCAGACAAGAAACTTCCATTCTGGGGGCACCTGGGTGGCTCAGTGGGTTAAAGCCTCTGCCTTCGGCTCAGGTCATGATCTCAGAGTCCTGGGATCAAGCCCCACATCGGGCTCTCTGCTCAGAGGGGAGCCTGCTTCCCCTCTCTCTGCCTGCCTCTCTGCTGACTTGTGATCTCTGTCTGTCAAATAAATAATTAAAATCTTAAAAAAAAAACCAAACCCTTCCATTCTGTTTAGGGAAGGCAGACATTAAATAGTAAGCAAATATAAGCAAGGTAATACCTTATGGAGATATGAAGGTTAACACAAGAACAAATTTCAGAAGTGGGGGCTCTTTCGGGCAGGGCAGTCAGGAAAGACCTCTCTGAGGCAGTGACATCTGAGCTGACGTGAGAAATGAGAAAGAGCCTGGCAGTGAACAGAAAAGGACATAGCTAGTGCAAAGGACCTGTGGTAGGAATAAGCTAGGTGTGTTTGAAAGACAGTGAGAAGCGCAGTGTGGCTGAAGAGCAGTGGGTGAGATGAAAATGGAAGGTGAAGCTGCAGAGCTGGGCAGAGGCCAGATGGCTTAGGGCTCTATAGACTGAAAGGAGGAATATAGTTTATATTCTAAATGCAAAGGGAAGCCATTGAGGGTGTTAAACCAGAGGGTGGGAGTGTACGAAGGAATCTGATCCTTATTTTAAGATCTTTGGTGTGTGAAGAAAGCCTTTAGGAGCAAAGTGGGGAGGCTATCAGGAGGCTTGCTGTCATGGTCCAGATAAGTTGATGGTGCCTAGGCTGGAGGTAGAGCCATGAGGGTGGGGAAGAGTGATCAGATGCTGGACAGTGTTGGAGGTAGAGCCAGCCTCACTGGTGGGGAAGAAGGGAGAAAGAGGAATGGGCTTGAACAACTGAAACTGGGAAGTCTGGGGGTACGGGGAGTTGAGGTAGGGTTAGTGGTTGGGAACTGGATTTTTGCCATCCTCATCTGGCACCCAGCTAGAGCTGCAGAGGGGCAGTCTAGAATTCAGAGAAGCTCTCCGGAGATCATGGGCATATGGTTGGCATTTAAAACCACGGGACTGGATGAGATCATCATGGCAGAGGGTGTAGGTTGAAAGGAGAAGAGGCACGGGGCTGTTGACTGCAAAATGAGACAAATGACACCTCCGCCCACGCGGCTCTCGCGAGGTATCACGTGAATGCACGCACCCAGTCCATGTTCTTACCCGGGTTGAGAATCCCGACAACGCTGAGGCTGAGCGGGGGGAGGCGGGGAATGGGGCCCCCTGTGGGCGGGGCCATATGGGGGCGGGGCCATATGGGGGCGGGGCCGAGAGCCGGGAGGCCTCTCCGGGGCCGGAGGGACCGCCGGGCGGTGACGTCACCGCATGACTGGGTTTTTATGAATGAAAGGAATCCTGTGAGTGAGTAATTCCGGGAAGCTCGCCTTACAACTCCGCGCCGCCCCCCGCGCCTCCCGCCCCACAACAAAACTCGGCGCGGCGCTCTCGGGAGCCCGGCTCGGAGCGACCCGCGGTCGGGACCGGAGACGAGACGGACCGGGGCGCGGGCCGGGACAGCAAGCCCGGACCGCAGCAGCAGCCCGCGTGCCCGGGGCGCCAGGCGAAGCGGGCCGAGAGGCGGGTGAGGGACGCGGGTCCGAGACGGGGACGGGCGCGCGAAAGCGGAGGCGGCAGGGTCTCCGCGCCCGGGAACGTGCCTGGGGCGGGGCACCGAGGCCCGCTCCGTCGGCGCCCGGGTGTATCCCTCGCCCGGACGGCTGGCGGGGGGGCTGGGTGGCTGGGGGGGCGGGGGGGCGGGGACCAGAGGTCCGGGCGGGGGCCGAGACGGGGTCCAGGCAGGCTTAGTGGGGTGCGGAGACGGGCCCCTTCTGGGGGCGCGCGCGGGGAGGCGGCGGAGCCGGACAGGAAGGGACAGCACAGGCGGGCGAGCGTCAGCGTCCGCCCAGGCGGGGCCGGGGGCGGTGTGTGCACGTACGTGACTCGGTGAGAACAGTCCTTGGACCGCTGCCCGCGGGCCGTGCGTGCGCGGTTTGTTTACGTCCGAAGGCGGGCGTGTGCGTGTGTGTGTTCCCGGGCCAGTGTCCCTCTTATCTTGCCTGGTGCGTGCGTGAGAGAGAGAGGGAGAGGGGAAGAGAGAGTGAGTGTGTGTGAGTGTGTGTGTGTGTGTGTGTGTGTGGTGTTTGTGTCGACCCGCGCGCTCCCAGGGCACTGAAGACCCTGGGCCTGTGGCCAGCGGTGTGTACCTCAGAGAGAGTGTGCCCGCAGGAATAAACGCGGAATGAGGATTCGGTTGAGGGAAGTGGCCCCTTCCATGGTCACAAGGGGGTCCGGGAATTCTCCCTGGGGCTGTCCCCTTCCTACCAGCCTGCAGCCAGGCCCTTGCTGTCCCTGGAGTTTCCCGGGGACAGGGCCATGTGACTGCGGTGTTTGTCCCCCGCCCAGAGCCAGCGCCTGCAGCCACAGGGTGCGGCAAAGTATCAAAGGCCCCACCCGGCTGGGCGGGGGGCTTGGGGGGGGGTGAGATGAGAGAGCCACCTCTGGCCTCAGCACCCACCGATGGGTCCGGCAACAAAGTGGGCTGGTGCCTCTGTCCTTGTCCCCAGGTTGTCCTGCTGCCTGGGGAAGGCAGACCCTGGGGACTCTCCTTCATCCCCAGGGTTGCCCATCTCCTGCCTCTTGGGAGGAAGAAGGGCCAGAAAACCCACCACAAAGGTGGGATGTGGGAAGGAGTCCCTGGCCCCCTCTCTTTCGTGGCTCCTCTGGCTGGTCCTGGTTCTGGAGCTTGTACCTGCTGGGTTGGGGAGGGTGAGACCGGGAGGGTGGGGTGGAGCTGGTTTCTGCCCTCCTGGTGGTTTCAGTTCCCAGATGGGATTAGTCAGACAAACCTACTGATGGTTGGACCTGAGGAGCTAGTTGAAGGCCTGGGCCAGCCCTGGGACCCAGAGTCCTCACCCTGGGCTAGCCCAGGTCATGGTCAGCAGGCAGTGGCACAGGTGGTCTTGGTCCATGAAGGATTCATATGTGAGGGGTGGGGCCATGACCTAGCCTTTTCTCATCAGTCCTGTGGGATGAGATGGGGGTTAGGGATATCTTCCTCCTATTCTGCGCCCCTCCCATCTACAAAGCTTTGAATGTTGGGGTGGGGGTGTTGGTAATTGAACTTGCTGGGGTGAGAAACCAGATGATCTTTTAACCTTGAATCTTTGAGCTCTGGTGAGCTCTGCTTCCACGGCTGGGAATTTGAATGATTCCAACTGCAGCAGGAACTAGTCTATGTGGGGTGGCAGGATGGGTGTAGAATGGGGAGGGACGGACCTGTAGGAGAGAAAGGAGAGTCCACAGCCCCAGTCTGGAGCCAGGGATGTCCAGGAGTATAGGGTTTGAGTAAGGGAGGTGGCGGCCAGGAGCACAGGAACCGCGTAGGCCCATCCTTCAGAGCTGGACAGGAAACATCCCCTAGTAGGGTGGAGATTCAGGGGACAAGGGGAAGTGACTGGTTGGATCACAGATGGAGAGTTTTGACTCCCATTGAATCACCTCTGGGCCTTCCCTAGAGCCTGAGACTGAACATGGGCTCCTGTGGCTCCCTCCTTCCTGACACTTTTAGCCTGAGTTTCAGTGGACCCTGTCATGGGCCAGATGCTGGGAATAAGATGGTGAACACATAAGATCTAGAGCCTGCCCTCTGGGACCTTACGGTCGAGGAAGGGGAGACAAAGTTGAAAGAGCTACCAAACTCCGTGCAAAACCACAGCTGAGATGGGTAGTATGAGGCAGAAGGCTCTGTGATTTGCAAGTATATAACAGGACTCTGACTTAGCCTGGGCAATCAAGGGAGGCTTCCTGGAGGAGGTGACCAGTGAGCTGGATTGTCAGATGGAGGGATGGTCACCTGTGAAGCCCTTAAGGGCTAGGGTTGTGATTCTTCTTTGGGCCTTTGGGACCCAGCAACAAGTCTGGCACAGAATAGGTGCTTCTTGGAGGTTTGCTGATGAAATGAATGAATGAGCCTAGATCCACATCCTGGAAGAACAACATAGCACTTGGAGTAAAAGGGCTGGGAACCCCAGGGAAGCAGGAAGCCTGAGGGAGCTACGGGATTCTTGAAGCAGTCTCTCAAAAGTGAGCAGATCGTTCAGGATCCAGGTGCCATCGTCCTTCACATGCGCACACACACACACATACACACACAGGCACACACACACAGGCACACACAGATACACACAGACACACTCCCTGTGGGAAATGTACAAGAATGGTAGGTTACTGTCCTTTTTTTCATTTGTTGTGAGCGTGAGGATCCTGGGAGAGTGGAGAGGGAATCCGATAGAGACACGGGGGCCCTGCTGTGCGGGCTGGAAAGGAGGCTGGCGTGGCAAGGTTTTGAAATGGGCTGAGCCTGGGCTGGTTTGTAGGTTTGTGTCAGCTGTCATCAGTGAGAGGTGGACAGATGACAGGGCCGGCACTGGAGGCAAGCGAGACCAGAGGCCAGTGAGGAGGCGGCTGTGGTCATAGCTCAGCTGAAAGGGGAAGTGGTCCCCAGCTGTGCAGGTGGAACGGAGGGACGGTCAAGGCTGACAGAGCCAGAGTTTGTGTTCTCATGCCTCTGCCTCCAGGAAGCCTTCCCTGATTGCCTTCCCCTTCCTCCAGGGCCTCCACTCTGTTGGTGGTCTTGGAGTTCCATTCTGGACCAGAATCTGCCACTCAAAACTCCAAAGTAATCAGTGCTGGAAAGTCCTCTAGGCTCAGTGAAGTTTGGGCATGGTGGGAAACTGAGGCCCCGAGAGGGGAATGGCGGATCTGAAGCCACGAGCAGTGAATGTGAGTGGGTGGCAGAGTCCCAGAGCTAGAATGCAAGGCCCCTGCTTCCCTGCGGTGCTGGGTTCTCTCAGCTTTGCTCCCCTTCCAGCAGGGAGGAGGCTGCACCAGTGCTGGCTGCCAAGGCCCAGGAAAACACATTTTTTCCCTCTGTCCTCACAGAGGAAGCAGAATGGCTCAACAGCCAGCAAGGAGCCCATGCCAGTGGGTGGGCCGTCTACAGGATGTCTCTGGAGTGGACCAGGGGCCAGGGAGGGGAGTTGCGGGAGAGCTGGTGGCTGCTGGCTGGGCCAGACCACTGTGAATCCCTGAGAATCAGTTCATTCTCTGTGCCTCCGAAGGAGTGTTGGGAACCTGCAGACCTTGGAGGTTGGCTCTGCTGGCCTCCAAGGGAAGAAGAGAAAAAAAATGGGTGGTGGGGGTAGCGATCCAGTGGCTGGCAATGAAGAAAGGGCCCTGAGCTGGGGGTCAGGACCATTTAATACCTGCTGCGTGACTTTAGGCAAGAGATGCCCCTTCCTCTTGGGCTAAGTGAGGAGGCAGGGCCAGGTGCCCTCCAGGGACCTATCCTGGGTAACCCCAGCCAGCCAGAAGAGGCTGAGTCCACGCAAGGTCCCGGTGCCTGCTACTGGCCTGATCCCCCTCCTGGAAGGACTCAGCCATTCTGATAACCCCCAGCTGCTCTCGGGGCTCCGCAGTTTGTACTGCTTGGCAGATACTGTTCTGATCCCACCGTTGTAGGATCTGATTCCGAATCGGATCTGATTCTGATTCCTACAGTTGTAGGAAGAGTGGAGGCCCAGAGAGGCAGGCCTTGCCCCAGGTCTCACAACCCGGAGAAGACAGGTACAGGACTCAAACCCAGGCTTGCCTCGATCCATTGCTCCTTCCTGGCTTCCCATATCCCAGCCGGGGGACAAGCATCATGAAGGTAGAACCCCTTCTGCTCCCTTCCCTTCTTCCTGGAGTCTGGGTACCCTCCTTGCCATGCAGAAGCAAGGAAGCAGATGGAAAGGAGGAAGAGTTGGAGACAGGGTGGGAGGTTTTTCTCCTGGACAGTGTTCAGCTAGGCTTGGGCTTGGCACTGGGTTCAGAGACTGACAAGCTGGGTCATGGTGTCAGAGACCACCCACCCACATCTCACCAGTGCCTGCTCCCTGCCAGGCCCTGTGCTGGGGGCCCTCAGGACCCAGAACTGCTGGTTGCTGCCGCAGAGGTCCCTGTCTGGTGGGGAGACAAGGGCACAGAACATTACAAGATAAGAGAGAAGTGCCAGGGTGGGTGGTGTTTGAAGAGTCACATGGGTGCAGGAGGGCTTCCTGGAGGAGAAGGCTCCTGTGCCGAAGGCAGAAGAGAGAGCAGGAATCTGCCAGATAAGGTCGGGGGAAAAGTGTCACAGGGCGTGGAGTTGCCCAGAGGCCACAGACTGTGGGAGAGAGGAAGTGAAAGAAATTCTGGGTGTGGGTGCCAAGTGGAGGTGGGCCATGATGGCAAGCAAGCCTGGGATGCCACGCAGGTGGGCCTAGACTCTGTCCCAGGGATAAGGAGCCACTGAAGGTTTTCCTCTGGTGGTGACATGGTCAGAGGCACATGCTGGAAAGATCCTCGTGCTGCTGTGTGGAGGACTGAGTAGAGGCCAGCAGGAGAGCATTCTAGGCCCTTCTAGGTGTGTTGGGGGAGAGGAAGGCAGCCGTTTAAGAGGACTGCAGTGAAGGGCAGGATTGGTGGGTGTGGTGTATGAGGGTCTCCAGGTGGCATCTGTGAAAGGCCAGGGTCCTGACTTGGGGCTCTCTGGGCCTCAGCGACACCATAGGAAGCCTGGGTGGCCCTGAAGACCTTCCCAGGCTGAGGGCTGTGGTGGCGGCCTCTGTGAGGGGGTCTCTTCAGATGCCACATTCCCCCTCCTGTCCCACTCCTTGTTCCCTCTGGGGTGTCACACCCTCCAGCTGTATGGGCCTGGAGGAGCTGGGTGACTCCAGAGAAGCCTTGGGCTTTCTGCACCTCGGCCCGAGTCACACTGAGAATTCTCCATTCCTTGAACCTCTGCAGTGTGCCAGGCTCTGGGCACTGGAGATGTGGCAGGGGATGAGCAGACTCTTGGCTGCTGGGGAGCTGGCCCTCTAATGGGGGGGGGCAGACACTGAACAGATATGTACAGTAGATGAGTAAGAATGCATACAGTGGAAAGTACCACAGAGGAACATGAGGTAGTGAAGGGGGGTGTGGGGGTGGGGGAGAGACTGTGTGTGTGTGTGTGTGTGTGTGTGGCGCGCGCGCGCCAGGGGCTGGGAATTCCAAATTGAACGACAACAGAAGATTTGGGAAGAGACCCAAAGGTGAGGAAGCAAGCTTGGTGGCCATCTGGGAACAGAGAAACCCAGGCCCAGAGAACAGCCCATGCAAAGACCCTGGGGAGGAGCATGAGTGGTGTGTGTGAGGAACCACAAGGAGGAGGGCGTGGCTGGAGCGGAGTGAGGGAAGGGGAACCACACAGCAGGTGAAGTCAGAGGTCTGTGCTGGGGCGGCATCCTGCAGGGGCTTGTGGGCCATTGTGATGACTTGAGCTTGTACTCCCAAGTGAGATGGGAACTGTGGGAGGGTCCTGAGAGAGAAGTAACACGAGTGACCTAACTCTGGGTCACCCCTGGGGAAACCGAGGGACAGAGCGGTTACCTGATGGGCCAGGATCCGAACTAGTGGGAAACCACCATGGAAAGGCCCCACGGGTGTCTGGCACCGAGGTCCATGCACTTTGCATTTCAACAGCGTGTCCCAGAGACATGGGGAACCTACGGGAATGTGTCAGAGGCCGATCTGAAGCTGTGAGGTGGACCCCATAGAAAGCTCAAGAAGCCAGGGCTTGGACCCCATTTGCCTCTGCTGTTCCCTAGCATCCCGGGTATTGCTAATGAGATCGCTAGTACGCCGCATCTCAGGCCACAGGGCATCTTCCTGCCTTGTCCCCTCTGTACCTCACCACCACCCCTCCCCGTCGGGATTATCGGATGAGGACACGGAGGCTCACAGTGAATTGGGGGAGAAGATCAGATCTGCTGGGGACAGAGAGGACTGCTGCTTTCAAGGGGGTTTTGGGAAACAGTCCCCTTCCTGGCCCCGAGCAGTGGCCACTGGCCTCCAGAAGGTCCCCTCCATGTCTCCCCAGAGCCGATGTCTGGCATAGAGTAGATGCTCAAAAAATACTTGTCGAAGGGACATGGAGCTTTCAGGCCTGTGGGGGAGACACTGAGGGCCACTGGGCCCCTCATCAGTTTAGGGTATGGCTGCCCTGATTGCCCAGGGCAGGGCTGCATTAGTGCTGGGTACCAAGCAGGAAAAGCTTTCCTAAGACAGATTTGGGTGAGGAAGGCGTGGGCTGGGGTGGAGGGGAAGAGACTGGTGATGTTCTATTTTGATGGGGTGCAGGTTGGACTCTGGAAAGTCATTGACTATCATATATATATTATATATATGTATATATGTATACATATATATGTATATATGTATATAATCTATATGATAGTCAGTGACTTTCCACAAACACACATGTGTATATATATAGTATTTTATATATTTTTTATGAATTATAAATTATTTTATATTTATTATATATTTTATATATAATTTGAAGTAACTTTACTCCCAGCATGGGGCTCACTCATGACCCTGTGATCGGGAATTGCATATCCTACCAATTGAGCCAGCCAGGTGCTCCAAATACGGTTTGTGTAATTTGCTGTATATAGGCATCTCTGGACGTCATATGGGCAAATGGCTGGAGGTGTCCATTCATTTGATGCATATTTATTGAGCAAATGCTATGTACCAGGCACTGACTTAGGCACATTGATACCATGACAAGACCACAGTCTTCCTGAGTGTGTGCATTTTGGTGGAGGAGAGGTGGGACAGAGACAGATAACCAAGTAACCAAACAAAATTATTGCAGAAGAGGTGACCATGAGGGTTATAAAATGGGGTGATGTGATGATATAGGAGGTATTTAGCTGGGATGGTTAAACCAGTTTGAAGAGGTGACATTTGGCAAAGCTCTCAATGAAGAGTCGCTGTGGGGAGATGAAAAGGAATACAGCCATAAAGAGAGAAGCAAGTGCAAAGGCCCTGAGGCTGGAATGAACCATTCAGCAGCACCAGTGTGGCTGGACCACTGGGGTGGAGAAAGGTGGTATGACGGGAATTACAGAGCAGCCGAGGCCTTGAATGCCAAGGTAGTGAGTCTGGGTTTTATTCAAAGTAGAAAGGAAAGTGACCTTGGTCTCTTCTCTCTCCTAGGTCTCAGCCCAGAGGGCACCTTTTGCAAACATGTCTGTGGATCCCTTATCCAGCAAAGCCCTGAAGGTGAGGAGGCAGCCCCTGTTGTCCCTGTCCTCCCCCTCTCCCTCCTTGTCTAGGCTGACTGTCCCATCCCAACTTCCCCTTCAGTTCCTGGAATCCTCAAGGGTGGCTCAGCAGGGTTCAGGTGTTCATGGGGCCCTAGGAAGGGCCCTGGACTGGAAACCAAGAGGCCTGGGCTCTGGTCGTAGGTTGGGTGCCCCCCTCGCATCCCCCCCCCCCCCCCCCCCCCCCCCCCCCCCCCCCCCCCCCGCAGGTCACTTCCATCTCTGGGCTGGCTTCCCCATCAGCACAGTGCTTACTGGGCTAGAGAGGACTTAAAAGGTGATTTCTGGGCCGGGTTTCTCTGGCTGAGTCCAGGCTGATGCACTGGGTTAGAATTTGGGCCAAGTCCTGGTGTGGTGGTCCCTTTTGTGTTCAAATCCTGGTTAGGCCCAGCTTCCCCTTTCTGGATTCTTCGCCCGCCCTCCCCAACGCTTCGGGGCCTTGGAGCAAACAAGTCCAGCCTCCTCGTTGGGGCCTATGGTGGTGAAGGAGGAACACTGGGGGTGGGTGGGGGAGCCGTCTCCAGCACCTGCTGCGCGCCAGACCAGGGCCAGCATCCACAGGCAGGGCGCGACCCTGGGCCTCAGTTTCCTCATGCGCCCAACATTCTACCCCTAGATCAAGCGTGAGCTGAGCGAGAACACGCCGCATCTGTCTGACGAGGCGCTGATGGGGCTGTCGGTGCGCGAGCTGAACCGGCACCTGCGCGGGCTCTCCGCCGAGGAGGTGACGCGGCTCAAGCAGCGACGTCGCACGCTCAAGAACCGCGGCTATGCGGCCAGCTGCCGCGTGAAGCGCGTGTGCCAGAAGGAGGAGCTGCAGAAGCAGAAGTCGGAGCTGGAGCGCGAGGTGGACAAGCTGGCGCGCGAGAACGCAGCCATGCGCCTGGAGCTCGACGCGCTGCGCGGCAAGTGCGAGGCGCTGCAGGGCTTCGCGCGCTCTGTGGCCGCTCGCGGGCCCGCTGCGCGTGTGGCGCCAGCCAGCGTCATCACCATCGTTAAGTCCGCCCCGGCCCCGGAGCCCGGGCTGGGGCCGGGCCCCGCCTCCGCCCCCACCCCCGGCCCCTCCCCCGCAGCCTGTTCCTAGTGTCCGCCCCGCCCCACCCGGCCACGCCGCACTTCCAAGCCACGCCCCTCCGACCCCTGCTTCCTTCCCAAAGTGCCTAAGCGTGGTCTCGTCCCCAGGTGCCATTTCTCTGCAGCCACCAGCCCCGTGGTGAGCACATGATCCCTCCCGAGCCTGCTGTCTTCCTGTTGTGGCCCCTATAACTGGGTCCTAATAGGTGGCCTTGGGGTGAGACAACTTTGGTGAGAACGGTGGGGTGATATGGTCTCTTTTGGCTGAACAGTCCAGCCGTCTTAGACTGGGACAGTGGGATACAGAACGGATTAGAGAGAAGGGCTGTCTGGGAGAAGAGGGCCACCCCTCATTTTGTAAAGTGTCTGCTCAGATCGTGTCCTAGCCCCTCCAAAGCCTCCCAGGATTCAGGACTAGGTTTGGCTCCCATATGTGTCTCCTGGGACTGGAGGCTAATGTGCCCCGCCTCTGCTCTGGGCCCAGGGGTGCGTGGCCTTTCAAAAGCTGGGAACATCCGACATCACCTAGTGAGGGCCAGTTAAGAGATAGGGAAACAGGCCTCCAGCGGACAGGCCAGTGCTCAAGGCCATCTGTGTTTCGTGGCTGAGCTGGGAAAGCCAAGCTGCCCTGAGGTTCCAGCCAGGGTTGTCAGGGACATTGTGGACACGGACTGGAAAGGATGATGAAAGGGCCTCCCTGGCCTGGGAGCTGCCTCCGTGAGTTAGGGGAAGAGAAGTAGAGGGCCAGAGAAGGTGATAAGGATGGAAGAGATGGAAGGAGCTGGCCAGCCAGAGAGAAAGGGGACCAAGGAGGCAACCATCGACTGTGGCAGGTGGGAAGATAAGACAGATGCTGAGGTCTTGCAGTCCTGAGAAGGTCCTGAGAAGGACCGTTGTGGCTTGAGGGGTTGCCACTGCCATTGATTGCCATTCTCCTGGGGAGCCCAGCCCCAACCCTCCCGCCCTGTATACAGCTGTTTATTTATTGCACGAATCTAAGTTATTCTCCCCAGCCGGAAGCCTAGCACCCACTCCCTGGGAAAAGTGGTGTGTGGCCCTGTGCTGGACTTTATATTTTATATCTGCAAATAAATCACATTTTATCTTATATTTAGGGAAAGCCGGACGACAACCACCCAAAAAATGTTTAAAAAAAAAATTTACCCGGCCCCCAGAATTTATTTATTTTCTGACTTACAGTAAGCGAGTTATCCGCCTTCTGTATTTTGTAGACTTTCTGAATAAAAGTCAAATTCTCTTTTTCCACAGTGACCAAGTGTCAGTCCCTGGGCTATGGTTTCTGGAGGGGGTGGGGGGTGGGATGGGTTCTGAATGAGGGGCTGAAGCTGGAGTTCTGCTTATAACCCCAGGCAGGCCCCCCTGCTGGAGTGGGGGGCTAGCCCCGTGTTGCAAATGAAGAAATTGGGTCATGGGCTCTCACTAGCTCTTGCTGGGGGAGGGGGGCAGAGGGGGACTGTTGCTAAAACTACTGTTCTTCCTTCTGGTTCCCTGGAGCCTCCCAGGGGAAGACAAAGCCAGGGGGGACAATGAAATGTAGGGTTAAATCCCTGGCATCCCTTCACTGAATAAACAGTCCCGCCCAGAGGAAAATTCCCGGATTTAAGAGTAATCTTTCCAGCACTTTCCCACCGAGGCCTGACTTTCTACAGCCAAGCAGAAAATATTTTCCCCACGGTCCGGAAGGCAAAGGGAGGCCGAGACAGAAGTGGCTTCTTCAGGCCCAGCCTGCAGGCCTAAAAGGCAAGCCTGTATCTCCTCTTTCCCTCCAAACTCACTATAATTTCCTCCCCGTCTGCCAGCCCTTTGGGGACACCCTGAAGAGAAGTGGAGGGTACAGCAGTCTGGGGGGCAGGGAAATCAGGGTTTGAATCCGGGTGTGCCTGTTTCTAGCCATGAGACTTGTAATGGTTTCTTTAGCTTCTTATAGCCTCCCTGCACAGAGAAGGTACTCGAAGGGCATAGGTGTGACAAGCACCGGGAAACCCGAGGGGCTGTAAGCTTTAACACGCAGTGGACACAGTCACAACAGCGCACTAGCACACACACACACACACACAGGCTGAGGGAGAAGGCCATGTCTGTGGCAGCTGTGGGCTTTGAAAGTTGGGGAAGGGTCAAACCGCATGGGTTGGCAGCGTCCATTGGCCTTTTTCCCCCCTCTCACGTTGAGGCCCCGTCATCCTGATCCCTGATCCGGGGATGCTGAGCTCAGGCCTGCAAAAGGGCAGCCGGAAGCCTCGGGCGGGACAAGTGGAGTTTCGAGGCTGGCTGGGAAGTTCCCCCCGCCCACGCCGCATTCCTGAGCACTCCTGTCAGCCCACCAACCCCTCCTCCCCGAAAGTGGGTGGCCATGGCCTGGTACCTGGCCTCCTTAACCCTTGGGGCAGGGACTAACCCTTGGGGCAGGAGGGTGGGCTCAGGGAGGCATCAAGATAGGCTGCAAGGAGCAAGGAAGCCTTGCAAATCCCTTCAAGCCCCTGGGAGACGCCTGTGGGAATGCGGCTGCTGGTGTTGGAGGTGCAGGGGGCCCTCTGGCTGGCGGACAGAAGGGGGACGGGGCATCCACCCACTGGGGTGGGGAGGGCGGGTCCCTTGTGGCCACAGCTACCCCTGGCTCCCACCAGCTGGAGGAGGGAGACAGTTCGTCCAGTGCGAGTCCGGAGCCCAGTGTCAGTCTCCGGCCCCGTGAATTCCCCCATTCCCCTGTCACCTACACATGGTGCCCTGGAAGGAAGCTGGTTTCCTAGGAGACCCCTGCCCACAACCACCAAACCCAGCCCCAAACACATACACGGAAGGCAGGGAAGAGGAAGGGCAAAAAAACCTCACCCACAGACAGCAGAGATTTCAATACAATCTATATTATCTCATATATATATTTCTTACTTTATTTGCTCACTTCTGTCACGCATTTAAAATGTCACAGAGACCAAAATAGAGCGGCTTTCTGGTGGAACTCATGGCAGTCATACACGAGATACAAAACTAGGGGACTCTGTCCTCTCATACATCATACAGTTCAGTTTTCAAGTATTTTTTATGTACAAAGAGCTACTCTATTGGGGGAAGGGATTAAAAAAAAAGGTTATGCATCCTAGGAAGGAAGGGTGGAGTGGGTGGGCACCCGTTCCCGGCCCCTCAACTCCCCGGGGGCCACTAGCTCCCTGCCCCAGAGCCCCTCCTCTGTGTCCCCCCACGAACCATGCTAGCCAGCAAGTGCCAGGGCAGCCAAGACAAGGGGGCAGGGAGTCGGCAGCACACTTTGGCCTGGAAGGAGAATCACACAAATCTATGAAAGCAAAGTGGGGAGTGGGGACTGAGGATCTCCCCAGACAGCCTGCTCCCACCTGCCACCTTCCCGGGCAGCTTGGTACCAGCTGGCCAGACCCACCAGATCGGCCCCAAGAGCCAGCCTCCAGCCCGCACCCCCCCGGCCTCTGTGACCCCGGGGCGGGGGGTGGGGAGCCAGCTTGGTCACAAGGGCCAAAGGCAGCCTGGGAAGACGACAGGGGTGTAATCCCCCACTGGACCCTGGGCACATTCATTCCAGGAATGAACGGAAAGGAAGAGAAGTTCTGGTGCCACAGGGTGGGGCCCTCCTCACCCTACGACCTTCCCCAGGCTGTCCAGGCCCAAACCCAAGTGCCCTCTGGGTTCCGAAAGACAGAACACACACTGTGACTGTCAGGAGGCTCCTCCTAAGACAGTGGCCAGTCTAAGCCCAGCCTGCCTGGGGACTCTGGCCACGGAGGCTCCGGGAATTTAGGTGTGGAGGTGAGCGAGGGGAGGGGACTCGCCATCCTGGCCATCCCCTAAGGCCTGTCCAGGGTGCTTGGCCCAGCGCAGCAGGGTCCCCTGAGTGCCAGCAGCTTGAGAGGGAGCCCCCAGGGAGTGTCTGCGGCCAGACAGACTGAGGGCCTGGGACAGGGGAGCTTTCGTATGTGACTAAGGCACAGAAGAGATGGGCCGAGGGGCCAGCCGAGGCGGGACTCCAGGCCGTGTGTGGATACGGCGCCAGGGAAAGGAGTCTGGGGTCACTCCTCCCACTTCTCAGCTCCCGCCGCACGCCCCCTCCTTCCGCCTCCCTCCCGCAGGGCTGCTCCTCCAAAAGCTGGTCTGAAATGTGGAGACTCAGACCCTTCCCCTGAAGCGGGAAGGAGCAGCCCTAGGGCAAGACCGGACCCTGCGGAGGTTCTCACTGCTTAGCCTGAGAAAGGGGCTGGGAGCCTCCAACCCCTTCAGCAGCCAGGAAGCAACAAGGGCTCTGCCCAAAGTGCTCTCCAGAAGAAAGACCCCGAGGGACAGGGCAGTGCGGGCCACTGGCTGCCCTCAGCAGGTCAGGAGGAAGGGGCATGAGGCAGGCAGGGAGGGCAGCCACAGAGAAGACAACCAGGGGCCCAGAGACCCCTGCTACGAGAGGGCCTTGTCCACAGAAGAGGGGCCCAGATGCACCCGAGCTCCCTTCCAACATGGGACACGTGGCTCTTGGTGTCCCTCTGGTCCTTGCAGCATGCCAGGCAAGCCTGGGTCAGGAGGAGGCGCAGGGAGCATCTGGGTCCCCTCCCACCCCTCTGGCCGAGGCTGAGGCTAATCTAGCGTGGACAGGGGACACAAGGGAGGGAGCAGGCAGGAAAGAGCCCAGGTCAGAGTATTGCACGGTGCTGGGGGCGGGGCTGTCAGTCTCAGGGAGAAAAGAGGGACCCACGTGGGGGCTGAGAGGGCCATGGCCGCGGGTGCACCACGGCCACAGCTGGTCCCACCAGGCCGCTGCGGCAGGACAAGCCATAGGGGCACAGGAGTCACCCCCAGCATCCTCCGTCCCTCGCCCGGCAGCAGGGCTGACCACGCGTGAACAGTCCGGAAGGCCCCCGTGGTGAGCCCGGGCTGTCCCCTGGGCCGACAGCTTCCGGCTATTCCTCTGGGAGCAACAGGTGAGTGTTTCTGGTCCAATAAATTAACGGGCAATGCCAAAGCTGTGCCAGCCTGCCTCCCCGCCCGCGCGTGGGACCGGAGGGGGGCACGCCCTGCCCTGGGCCGCGGGGCCAGTCCTCCCCACCAGCAGCCGCACCTAGAACTCATCATCGGAGCTAAGCAACAGAGTCTTCTCGTTGTCGCGGGCGCCACTGAGGCTGTGGGAGCGCGAGAGGCTGTGGGCGCCACCGCGCCACGCGGGCCCGGGCTCCAGGGTGGACTGCTGCGTGTACTGCTGGTAGGCGGGCGAGAAGTTATGGATGGCGTCCTGCACGATGTCGTGTGGGTTCATGGTCTCCTTGAGGCTGCTGGAGATGCTCTTCATGGGGGCACAACGGCCTGCAGGATAGAAGCCCAGAAGCGGGGGTGAGGGGCAGGGAGGCCCCGGTCCTGGGACCGAGCGCCACCCCAAGGCCATGTCACCCGACAGAACAGGGTCCCAGGCATCAGGAGGCACAGGCAAAGAAATGGTTCTCTGGCTGGGGCGCAGAAGGCAGGTGAGCAGCCGTGGGGGGCTGGTAAGCGTGGTTGGTGGGAAGGGACCCAGGGTGGAGAATGGCATGCCCCAGGGAGGATGCAGTGTCGGGGAGGGGTCCACCCAGAGAGCTAGCCCTGCCCCCTACCCCTGGGGGCCCCCCTTTGCTCTGGCAGGACAGGCAGCCAACCACACCCCCCCTGCCTCCGGCACCCACAGTGGGATGCCCTGCAAATCCTCACCGGCTCCCCTCTGAGAGGGCAGAAGCCCTCATGTGCTTTCTCCTAACTCCCCCTCTAAGGAACTCTCCCTCCATGGGTTCAGTAGGGAGAAGTGGCCCCAGACCCAAAACCGAGGTGGGGGACAAGTCCTGGTCTTCCAATTCCAATCTGGCGGGCCTTTTCCACCTTCGTGTTCTCCGCCATGGATTTCCCATTAACACGCACTGTGCCCCCGGAACCCAGCGGGCGTATTCCAGAACACTGAGAGACCAGGACGGAAGCAGGCAAACTCTAAGGTGGGGGGGGGCAGCCCTTGGCAGGCAGGGCCTATGAGCTCTGCTGCCTGGGGGTGCCTTGGGAGGGGGGGAGAGACAGGAACACAGAGAAGGGACTAGGGAGAGAGACATGCCGGTGACGGTGACCACGACTGACGTGCAGGACAGACGTGTAGACCGGGAGCAGAACCTACCGTAAGGGCCGTATGTTGGCACTGCCCGCGGCCAAACCCAGGGCAAAAGCAGGGCGGAGGGGGGAAGGGGAGGGAGAGAGAAGCCAGAGAAATAGAGAAGACAAGAGACAGCTGAGTGACACCATCTGCCCACCACCAAGGCCTGCACACCGCACCAGACCCACTTCCCACCCGACCCAGCACCCAGCAGCCCCAGCGGCCCCCTCGGAGCCCGGCACCCAGTGGGCGATGGGGGTGGGGGACGGCACGTCCACTCAGGGATGACCCCTCCCACAGGGCTCACGCTCTCATCCAGGGGGACGGGAGAGCCACCAGCAGATACACAGGACATTGATCGCGGTCCCATTTCTACACCTAAGTTGTGGCCCAGCACTCCCACTTCTCTTCAGGCTTGGCTGGAATGGCTAAGCCAGTGCCCCGCGCTTTACAAACCTCGCGACACTTCACAGATGAGGAAATCAAGGCTGAGGGGTGAGGGGGCATGGTGCCCTGTATAGATACCCCCAAGCTTTTCCCCAGGAGGGCTGGGCTGGGGTCTCTGCCAGAGTTGGGTTTCTGGCCACGCTGTTCTTTTCTGGGCTGGTGGTCTGGGAGCAGCAGGTGGGAAGATACAGCCTAGGTGTCCGCTGGGCCTCTGCAGAGCCCCCACAAGTGACATTTTAAACCCCGAGGGCCCAGAAAGGGTTCTCTGCTATGGCCCCAGGCTCCAGGCACAAGGGTGACTTTCCTAAGGATGCAGGCTCTGTTGGGACCAGGCTCACGGGACATCGTGCTCAGCACTGGGTGGGTGTTTGCAGATCTGAGGACCTAGTGGGAAGCGCATGGGACAGCAGCTGGTAGCAGCAAGGCAGCCGGTACCGGGTAGGTGTGCGATCACAGACGGAAGAAGGGGTACCGCCAGCCCTCCGCCAAGTGTGTTGGGAGAACACAGCTGGGCACCCAAGAGCTGAGCGGCCTGGAGTGCTGGCCCGTCCACTAGTGGCCAGCAGGTCTCTTTCCAGCCAGGGAGAGGGCCGAGGGGTCCCGTTGCAGCACCCCACTCCCCGGGGCCTGTGGTGGGCTTCAGTGCGAGGCCTGGGAAGTGGGGTTCTCGTCTCTGGCCACAAGGAAGGCAGCCAGCAGCAGCCCAGCTCCTGGGTGTGTGTGTCAGAGCAGGACCCTCCAAGGCCCACCCACCTCCCCACCGGAGAAGTCATTTCAGGCATTGCCGGCCTCCCCTTCAGCCCGCCGTGACCATCTGCTCTCTGCCCAGGAGCAACCCAGAGGCCGCTCCCTCCACTGGGGGGAGCTGGGAAGGTCCCTGCCTCCGTTCGAGCCCAGACCACTTAATGCCGAATCTGGGAGTTGGGGGGGTGCACAGGAGGGACCGGCAACGCCTCTCCGGGGCATCCTAACGTACAACCGGGGTCGCCAATGTCTTCGAACAAGGAGGCAAACAAGCAGGTGTAAAAAGCAAGCTGTTAAAAACGGCCTGTCGGACACTGTGGCAGGAGGGCCCTAGGGAGGGCCTGGGAGGGCTTCTCCCGCTGTGTGGGGGGCGGTCATCTCGACGCTGGCTCATACCTTGCGCATCTAGCCTCTTGTCAGCGTAGACCTTGTAGGTGAAGGCGTGCCGCAGGGCCAGGGCTGCGAAGAACATCTCCACGCAGATGATGAAGTCCTGGTAGCCAGCGGCCACAGTGCCCTCGCCCACGGACACGCGGGCCGAGTGGATCTTGGGAATGGCCCCACACTTCTCCAGGATGGCCAGAAGCATGCCTGGAAGAGGAGGTGCGGGCATGTGGCCCTGGAGCGGACCCCTGGCCTGTTGCCCCTTCTACATGCAGCCCCCACCCCGCCAATGCCACACCCACCAACAAGGACGGCAGCGGGGCCCACGGTCGCCCGGGGGTGCTGAGATGCTGACACCAAGCTGAGGCATCTGGGAAACCCCACCCCGCCAGCAACTTGCTGGCCACCAACTCTGGGGGTCCCTTGGATCCCCATCCATGAGGCAGCCCCACGGAAGGTTCCCCATGGCTCCTGTGAAAGGCTCCTGAGGGCCTAGACGTTCCACCCAGGAGGCCCCAGTGGACAAAAGTCTGGGCTCTAGGCTGGGATGGCCCAGAGACAACACAGGCCTTACAGAGGCTGGGAAGAGGCTCACCTTGCCAGAAGGAGAGAAAAATGACAGACTTGACCATGAAGAACTTGAGGACGGGGCTGTAGGGGCTAAGGAGGTCCCGGGTGGCAAAGTAGAAGAGGAAGAGGGCGTAGAGGGCCAGGCTGACAGAGATGTTGTAGATGATGGTCACGTAGAGGTAGCCGCTGGTGACACTGGGGGAACAGGGAGTGTTCTCTGGCTTGGACAGAGCCTTTGGAGGGACAAAAGGCCTCCCTCCCGCCTCTGCCCAGCCAGTATGCCAACCCCCATGGTTCTCAGCAAGGTTCCCCAAGAAGTGCTCCATGAGCCACTGAAGAAGGGTCCTAAGTGGCCAAGAAGCAGGGGGCAGAGGTGTGTGTGCCCACGGTGAAGGCCAGCCCTGGGCCTCTGCTCTGGTGCCTGGGCTCCTCATGGGAACCCGGACATTGAAGCCACTAGCACCAGGGGGCTCAGCCCGATGGTCCAGCAACAGGGATGAGAATGACGTAGAGCCTGGCTCTGCTTTTCTCTTGAACAAAGTTCTGTCGCCCTCCAGGCCTCAGATGCTCACCTGCCCTGGCGGGGCTGTCCTGTGGGGTACAGGTGGCATGGGGCTGGGGTGCATGGTCCTGTTCACTAGCCCCCCAAAACGAAAGACGTCCACATGGGAGAAGCCTTCTCCCGGGGACTCAAGCCAGGCCTCTCAGGGCTCTGACCTTCTAGCTCCCTGCCTTGGGAGTGGTCACTACCCCCAGGCACCAGCCTGTGGGCTGTCCGTGAGGGTGACGAGGGCTGAGGGCTGGCTCCTGTGCCAGAGGCGGGGCCAAGCAGGACGATAATCACCTCCAGGCTTGGGCCTTGCAGCTTAGGGATGCGCGGGGGCATGAGGAGGGACGGGCCACCCTCGGCCTCCCCTCAGAGGAAGGTCAGGGGCATGGGGCCAGTCTGCAGGCACCCCCTTCCCTAAAGCGGGGCATCACAGCCTCGGGGCAAGGCCACCCACCCCCACCTCTCAGGGGGCCCCCGCTGCTTACTCAAAGTCGCCGTCCCGGTACTTGCCAAAGGCCTGGAGGACCACGGTGCTGACAGCCATGAGTGGCTTCACTACGCAGAACTGCAGGGTGGCCTGTCGGGGGAGAAGGTCAAGAGTTGGGGACGAACAAAGAAACTGTGTGGCGAGCCCCTCCTCTGTCCTCTGGCCAGGAGAGCCTGTGCTGGATGCTGGGGGTGGGGGTGGGGGGTTGTTCTGATGTCCTGTCCCTAGGGGACTGCCGTGTGGAAGGGAGGCAGAAGCTATGAAGGGACAGCTGTACAGTGTGGCCGTGCGAGCAGACAGGAGGAAGGACTAAGGATGGCCGCTGGGGGGACAGACGAGCGCAGGACAGGGGAGTCCGCTGGAGGGCTTCTCACAGAAGGGGTCAGCAGGAATGTGCCAGAGACACACCAGGGACAAGCAGAGGGAGGCGCTCCTACCAAGACCGACAGGCCGAGAGCAGACACGGGGCAAGGGGGTAGATGCTGGTGATGGAGGGCAGCAGGAAGGGGGCCAGGGCCCTTCTCAAAGCCTCCTCCTGTCCTCCTTTGTCCACCCCTGGGGTCTCACTGGGGCTGGAAGGGACCTCCAGGAGCACAAGAAAGGAGGCAGCTCAAAGCACAAGGTCTGGGATCCTGAATCTGAATCTGAATCCTGGCCTCACCCGCTACCATCTGGAGAAGGTCACATGAGCGGTCACGTAGCCTCTGAGCGGTCACCTCACTAACAAATGGACGTAACCAGCCCCACATCGCAGGGCTGAAGACCACGGCAGTGTCTATTGTTCAATGAAGGCCTCCACGGGCCCGCTCAGCCACTGGAAGAATTCCTAAACCAGGTTCTCACAGTGCCCTCCAGAGGCTCCAGCAAAGTCAAGGACAACCCACGGTGCCCAGAGAGCAAGCAAAAACACCAGGCTCTTGAAAATCATGTCTAAGCCGTAAGGCCCCTTCCGTGGCGGGGGAGCAGCTTTTAAAGGCTGAGCCACTGTGGCTCCAAGTCAGGCAAGGACCCTGGGGCAGAGGAAGTAACCCGTTGACCCCAACATTTCCGCCCCACTGGGGACCCGAGTCTGTGAGGTGTCCCCATGGGCCCTGGGCTGTGCGTGGAAGCACGTGTGATGGAGCGCAGAGGTCAATGCTGCCACCAAGAAAGCCCCCCAAATTCCCCGGCCCCACCACCTACCTTGAGGGAGCGGGATCAGCATCTGGGGCAAAGGAAGGAGGCGCGGGCATTAAAAGCCTGCCCACAGGCCGCCGCCATCCTGGTCAGCTGGGCGTACAAGGGCCCCCCAACAAAGCACTGTTACAGCTGAGGAAACCGAGGCACGGAAGGGCAGAAGAGGCGGCATCAGCAGGCCCCACAGCCTGCACCCAACCACAGCCCTGGATCGGGTGAGGAACCAGGCAGCAGTTCCCCAGCCAGGAGGGTGTTCAGAACCACCTGCAGAGCTGTAACCCCGGCCCCGGGGCCCAGAGCTACAGGCCAGACCTTCTTCATCAGCCTGGGGGCTGCGGAGAGGGGGCTGGCTGACCAGAGGATGGCTGTGCACCAGCTCTCCAGGAGAATCAGATCCCGGGGGCCCCTGGCCCAGGCTTTCTCAGGAGAAAGCAGCAGAGAGGAAGCAGCGCTCTCCCAAGGGAAAGGGATGCAGAGGCCGCTTTAATCCTGTCCTCTTACTACCTCCCCCTGCTGCTTCCAGAACAGCAGCAGGACATCTGAACCCACAGGGCCTGGGGAATCATTTATAACCAGAGTAGCAAGCTAGTGATCATGGGATCAAAACTCTGTACACAACATACCCATCAAAGAAGGCGGTGAGTCACAGCTGGGCCCAGGGCGGCTGAAAGGCTGGTAAACAAACGCTCTGGAAGGCCCCACCCACCCTGACCCCAGGGACACTTTTAACTCTTTGCCTCCAGGCCCAGGAGGGAGATTGTGAATGGAGGAACGCCCAAGGGAAGGCAGAGCTGGAAGCTGGCCTGCGGCGTAGACACGGGTGTAGACCCGGTCCTTCCAGGTAGGTGCTACGTGGGTGTGCCCGCATCGCGGGCAGTGTCCCTGCACAGAAGGGAGTGGAAAGGCCAGCCCTCTGGTGGCCAGGGTCATCAGCTGCAGTGACTACTCTTGGTGACCCAGAGGTCCCAGCAGGGGCAGGCTCTTCCTCCCCCGACAAGAGTGGGCTCGGTGCCTGTCTGTGCTGACTGCTTCCCATCCATCCCCCACCTGGGCCTCGTGCCATCCCTCGAGGTAAGTAACGTTCCGCCTGCTTTACAGAAGAAGGAAACCAAGTCACGCTCAGGAAGCTATTACATAACCTCGCCAGGGTCACCCAGTCAAGAGGAAAAGCTGAAAATCAAACTCAGATGGTCGGACACCCGGGCCCAAGTGCTTCACCACAACCCCGCGCGGCCTCCGCCCAGCTCCCGGAGACCACAGGGGAGGCAGCGGAGGAAACCGGAAGCTGGTGGAAATGGGGAACAAACCAGAGACTCGGCAGGCCCATCGAGCTTTCACGCAGAAGCACTCCTGACCTCTAGCTGCAGCCGAGGAGGGGTTTCAAGCTGAGACTCTAGAATCCCTGCGCCGCCTCATTCTCACACACACACACCAAGACCCGCCTGGTGGAAGTGAGCAGGAATGGGACCACCTCCCGCCCGGGGCCGCCACAGACCCTCTCAGGACCCTGTTGCTGCCCCTTGGAGCACGCTCGGCTCATGCACGCATGCCTAACGGCATGGGGCATGGGTGCAGGGCCTTCGCGTACCTCACAGGGTATGGGAACTCTGCAGGTGGGCTCCTCTGGCCCTAAGCCCGCCTCTGCCACCGGATGAGCAGGGGTGGCTCCCAGGCTCTGGGACCCTGGCCTGGACCCCTCAACCGGGGCCGGTGCAGGGACACGCACCTGCTTGCAGAACCGGAGGAATCCAATGGAGTAAGTCTTTCCCCAGAGGCAGCACGTGCCGTACATACAGCTGGACCTGGAAGAGACAAGCGGAGGGGAGGCTAGAAGGCAGACAGCCAGGATTCGGGGAAGGTGGGGCTGGGGGAGGCCACCTTCCCTCACAACCACATGAGCCCGGGGAGAGCAGACCGGGGCTGGGAATGGGGCACAGATTTCAGGCAGTCTTCGCCCGGAGGCCAAGCACTCGGGGAGAGTCTGCACTGGTGGTGGTGGGAGGTCCGGGGTGGGGGGCATCAGGGAGCAGGGCTGCACCAGCCTGGACACAACAAACCAACCTGCCAAGTGCTGAGTGGAAAGACTACAAGAGAAAAAAACAGGCAGACAGGAGGGGACAGGAGAAGAAAAAAGGAGTAAGTGCCGGTGAGGCCGTCCCCATGGTCGCCGTGAATGGCGTCGCTCGGGAAGGGAGGAGAGGCACCACAGGGCCAGGTTCTGGGCAGGGTCAGTCTGTGTGTCCGGCTGATACCAGGACAGCTCGAAGACCCTCAGACCCAGGAAACAGGGTGCTGTGGGGGCTCCAGGGAGACCAACTACTCACTCGATGGGCTTCCCTCTGATCTCCGACATGATGGAACTTTCTCCCCCGAGGTATTCGTAGCACAGGCTCAGGAAATTATAGATGACCAGGGCTGTGAGAGATGTCCAGAGAAAACCACTCAGACCAGCAGGCTGGGCAAACAGATGGTGGGATTCTAAACAGCCACAAGAGTGGAGGCACCACGGTCACGGGGCCGTGGGGACACAGGGACCCGCACAGAGAATATTCCAATGGTCACCAAACCAGGCAAAGCTGAGTCACGCTGTGTGCGGTACATGCACGTACGCTGCTGGTCACCCCGTAAAGCGACACACGGTGATAAGCACAAAGTTCCAGATTGCAGGGGGAGACGGGGCTGGGCTCGCTGGGGGCTGGGGAGCACATTCTGGGGATCAACAGGTACCAGCTTTGTTACTGTGTGCGTGTGTGTGCGCGTGCGTGTCTTACGGATCAGAGTTTTACAACAAAACAATAAAACATTCTCTGGAGGGATCTCAGGAGAAATTTTCAGCAGGAATGAGGCAGGACAACCTTTGTCCATTCAACTAGCCAGAGGGGCAGGTTAGTACGCACGCCAGTAGAGGCTGTGGGGTGGCAACGAAGGTCACAAAATCAAGCACAAATGTGCAGGGCAGCTGGGCCAGCTCTGTCCGGATGCGGCTCGACGGCACCACAGAGACACAGCTCTGCAGCAGCGACAGGCAGCACCGAGGTACGCTGTCAACGCTAGACCATAGCACACCGAGAGGACTTCTGCGGGTCAGCAAGATGAAGGCTGCGGCCTGCAGGGTGCCAAGAGCACGGGGACGTGCCGGGAGCAAGGATGGGGAGACTGGGGAGCAGGAGTACCGCAGAGGCCGCCGGAAGGCAAAGGCGCTGGAGGAAGCTCAGGCCGAGAGCATGGGAACTCGAACGGGCAGCAAAGGCGTGAGGGACCAAGTGGGGTCAGGGAACAGGAAGGGCAAGGGAAACAGCCGCGACCCTGCAGACAGAGGGCTCCTTACATGACCCTGCTGTCCCCCCTGTTGCATAGAGGCCCTCACAGCTCCAGGTACAGCCCTGACCTTGGCATTCGAGATTTTTCCATAGTGACTTGGCCCCCGCCCACTCCCCACATGGCCTTCCCGGGGAACTAGATGCCCCTCTTTCCCTGTAGGTTATGACATCCTCCATGTGCTTCCCTTTGCTGATTCCCACGGCCTGGGGTGCCCCTCCCTCTGTGTTGCTGGCGTCCTTGAAACCCATGAGACCCCCTGAGAGTCTCTGGCTCCTTTCATGGAGGCTGGCATGTTCTCACCCAGGGAACCACTGACCTACAGATGCTGGGCCGTGTTTCCTGCCCCGGGGCCTGGCTAGCATGATCTCTGACCACTCCCACGGGACTGCAGCCCCTGGAAGAGGGCCCACCTCCACCCCAGAGCATGGCCACAGCACTCGGCACACACCTGGCACACCACGACCATGGGGCTACCTTGAGCTGGAGAGCATGCGATCCCGGCGACAGATCTATGGGCAAACGTGGGCCTTCAGCGGTTTGGGAAGGAGTATGTTTGCAGTGTGGTATACCTAACGCATCATGGGCTCACGCTGCCAGCTAAGGTCAGGGGTTCCAGGTAGCACCCCATCTCAGCATCTCACCTACCACATGGTGCTGTGACTGTCTGTCTACGGATGTAGTAGAGGGTTTGTCCCCCATTAGCTGGGAGCCTTTCTGTGCCTCAGTCTCCTCATCTGTTAGATGGAGACAACAGAGGCACCTATCCTGCCAGGGGGTATGAGGTTTGAGTACCCAAAGTACTCCGAAGAGTGGCTGGCCTTAGTCGTGCCCACTAGACGGCCACTACTGTTTATCTGCTGGTCTTCCTCGGGGGCCAGGGTCCCCCAATGGGGCCTGCGGACACTGCCTGCCTGGCCTGGAAGCAGCTCGGGAAATGTGGGGACTGTGGCAGTCTCCACTGAGCTCCAAAGCACTCTTCAGTGCCGAGAACTCTGGGGCATTGGGGCCGGGGGGGAGGCATCAAACCAAATCTGATGTCAGCCGCTGACCAGCTTTGTCCGAAACCACATGAGGCCAAGTAGGATGGACATGCCCGTCCCAAGCTGGCTCCAGCTACACGGTGGCCAGTGGTACCTTCCAAAGATGGCCACACCCTGATGCTGGCTCCCCTCTGCGGGGGACATAGGGTCTTCCTCCCTCCCTCCCTCTGCATCCAGGGGGAGCCTGGGGTGACTACAGCACAGGTGCTGCTCCAAGACCCCTGACACTGGGCTTCGAGAAGGCCTCTTTCTTCTGTTTCTTTCTCTTGAGATGCCTGTCCTCGGATGCAGCCCCCCTGCTCCGAGGGAGCCCAAGCCAGCCCACGTGGAGACACTACCCAGAGTGGCTCGGGTGGGAGGACCTGAGGCCCCAGCTGATGCCAGCAACAAGTGCCAGACACACAAGCGCACCAGACTGCAGACGCCACGCCCCCAGCTGAGGGTCCCCCAGCTGAGGGTCCCCCAGTGGAGGCCCAGACAGCAGGGCACAGGGACAGACTACCCGCACAGTGCCCCATCCACTTTCCTGGACTGCACTGTCCGTGAACAAAAGGAATGGTCGTTTTACACTAGTCTGGGTGATTACGCAGCCAGAATAAATGCATACGTACACGTGTGTGTTTGCGTGTCTACATAACATCTCTATGTATATGCACATACATCCGCATGATATAACACCACTCTGAAAGCTCCCAGGATGCACCGGGAGCTCTCACACCTCCCATGCTAGCATGTTCTGGGGCCTCTGCTAAGGCTCAGGGGCAGGCCCTGCTGAGACACCCCCTCTCCCTTGTCCAGAGCCAGGCTCCCTCCACACTCCACAACCGCGACGTTGATCCGGCCGAGTCTTCCCGGCCGAGTCTTCCCGTATAGAGGGGGGCAGTGTCACACCCAGCAGGGAAGCCCCGGACCCTGGAGCCAGACTGCCAGCAGGTGTGAGTGGTGGCTCCGTTGCTTCCTAAGTGTGCCATGCCACGGTTTCCTCACCGGCAGGCCGGGGTAACAGCAGCCCCTTCCTCGAGGACAAGGGCGAAATGCGATTCCTTCGCTAAGGCTGAGCTCGCATGGAACAACCCACGCCGCGGTCCCCAGTGTTCTTTCCAGATTGCCAACTCTTTGTCAGCCTGCCGCGGACTACCAGAGGGTCTTAACTCGGGGTGCGGCTCGGAGAGGCCCGCACTCCTTTCTCGCCTGCAGAGCCCATCCTTCTGCATGCTGCGCGGACCAGACACGAGTCCCCGAAATACGGACCTCTCAAGAGAAGCCCCAGGGGTCAAGGTTCGTCATTCCCCTTGTCCAGAGCCATTCTCCCAAGCCAGGCCGTCTTGCAAGCCTCGACTCCTGAGCTCACATCCTCTCCTGCGTCAGGACAGACGGCAGCACCCGCCTGAATTCCGGGGCTGAGCAGTCTGTCCCTGTCAAGCTCTGCACTCAACTGGCCAGAATCATCCCATGGCATCCGTATCTCTCAGCTCAAAGTTCTGGACTTTTCCCAGTGCTCCCGGCCCAGCCCGTCGGTAAGATACCGATTGGCTGACGGCTTCCTTTAAAGAACCATCAGTGAGTCAGTAACATGTTCTCAGAGAAGGGAGACAAAGTACGACTATCCTGGAGATGACTCAAACAGCCCACACCAGCACCCACTGACCATCTGGACAAATCAATCCCCTCCCAGGAAATTACTGAGCCAGGCAAAACACGACCCCCGCCCCAACAAGGCTGTTTACAATAGACAACTCAACGCACACCCTGGGAAGAAACACGAAGACACGCGGCCCGGGCACGAGAAGACGGCACCCGCTGGGTTGGAGGCCAGTGGTGGAGTGTGGTTCTTGGCTAGCAGCTTGGTGCCTGACTGCCCCTCGGACCACAGCTCCGGGCTGCTCCCCCGAGAGGCCCCAGAGACGTGGAATGACTCTTTGCCTCCCTAAGTACTAACCACAGCCTGTGTGCCAGGCTCCGTGCTAGGCCCTAGAGATATATGAGTGCCCAAGGGACCCACCGACCAGGCCCTCCGGTTTAGAGGGGAGCATCCAGAAGGGAAGGGATGATCCTTCTGTCTCTCTCTCCTGCCCTGGACAATGGAACTTTCTGTTCCATTCTAGATACTAAACCTTAAAGAATTATTTATTTTAGAGGGAAGAGGAGGAGGGACAAAGGGAGAGAGAGAATCTCAAGCAGACTCCCCACTGACCACCAAGCCCAATTCAGGCTCAATCCCACGACCCTGAGATCATGACCTGAGCCAAAGTCAAGAGCCAGATGCTTAGCCAACTGAGCCACCCAGGCACCCCCTAGATACCAAGTCTTAAATGGATTAGAAACAAATGCACAAAATCAGGAGCAACTGACCAAAATGGGAGATGAAATGAGCATCTTACTAGAGCCTTGAGGCCTGGAGAAAAGACATCAGGGTTACTGTCTTCACATAAGGGGCACGACCTTGTCTAGAGGATCAGACAGGACCCATCTGGTCCCGGAGGCAGATCCTAGGCCTTCAGCCTAATATAAGAAACAACTGCCAGCAGGCCGTCTTCAGAGATGCAAGGTAGTGAGCTCTGTGCAGGGGGAGCATGCCATCAGAGGCCAGGGGGACCTTAGCAGAGAGGCTGAGTCTTTACAGGTCCCTTCTGACCCTGAGACTCGAGACCTTCTTTCCTCACTGGCAGCATCTCTAACCCACAGATGCCCGGACTGCCCGGACAGTCCAAAGGGCCACCCTCCACCCAGCCTCCCCCACAACAGGCACCCGCAATCCCCGGTGAGCCCCCAGGGCTTCAGAGAGGATGCACCAGGAAGCGCGCTCCAGCTGTCCCTGCCTGTGGCTCCCGGAGTCAGAAGTGCTCACGAGCAGGTCAGACAAGGACACCTGTCTGTTCATTCAATAACCCCTCCCTGGACCCTGGCCGGGTGCCACACTCTGGGCGCAGAACCTCAGTGGCCCTGGGGGCCACTGGCCATTCCTAGTTCGCTCCCCCCACACGCCTTCTGCACCTGTAGCTGGCCCCTAGGCCTGGCCTTCTCGGCCGCCCACAAACACTTTGGTTATCTCGGAAGACGTGGGGGCAATCCACGTGGCAGGTAACCCAAGGATGAGCTCAGAAAACTTAATTGTGACTACTTTGGACAGAGATCTTCTGTGCTCAGTGAATAGGGGCCTCAGAACAAGCTTCCCTCTCTTTTCTTCTGGGATCACCAGGGACAGCAATGGACACAGTGGGCCACAGCCCTCGTGGGCTGGGGTCTGCCCCAAGCTGCTTTAATCCCTCCTCCCTTGTGACCTGTCTGCCCTCATCGATCCTGCCTATGGCTGTTCCCTGTCACCCAGATCACTGTTCCTGATGCCTTTTCTGATTGGTTTCCTCTCTATACCTTCCTTTGTTCTGACCGACTGCGCTGTCAGTGCCGGGACCCACAGCAGCACCCCGGCCTTTGGGGCTCGTGCGGCCCTGCGTCTGCGGCGCTCGGCTGGGTTCCGTTTACCCCCGCTGTCCTCTCTCTCTGCCTCAGACGATGCTTCATGTTGGGCCAGATTCCAGGCAGTGAGGTTTGTCCAAAATCTGAAGCAAGGTGAAGGCAGCCTCCTTCTTTAACTGTTTCATGGAAACTCCCCTCTTAACAGAGCCCGTGCTCCTCCACGGGGAGGACACAGGCCTGCCCTCCTCTGCCCGGCCTGACGCGAGCCACTCTGGGGACCCAGAGACCCAGGGCTGCGTCTGGCCTCTGGCAGCGACTCTCTAGGTAATCCTGTTCCTTAGCCAACTCGGTCTTTTCTTCACGAGTACAAGTGAGGATGGTAATACATCCACCAGTAACTGGGAGGTGAGAATGAGCTAAGAGTAAGGAAAAACATGCGGGAAAACGAACACCACAAAAAAAGCATTCACAACACAGTTCCTGTGTGAGGCGACAGTGCAGTCAGTCTCCCTCCTCCGAACTCCAGCCCTCTGCACCCCTCTGATCACAGAGCGCCCTGGGGCTGTCCCAGAGACATCTCTAGGGGCTACCCCTTGCCCTGAGCATGATCATACGCTACCTGCGTGCAGGGGACTTAGTCTGCCCTCCTCTGTTTACCTGCCCCGATGGCTCGTCCTCGCACCACACGGAGTACAGACCTTGCCAGATGGTAGAAACTTCTCTGAGACTCAGCCCCTCCTTAGAAGACAGCAATCCTGCCACCAAATTGCAGGGTTTAGTGTTACTTGCTCCCCCACTGCCCTGCTGGAAGGCAAACAAATGGGGGAGGTACAAACCTTCACGCACAAGGGGCCAGCACCAGGGGCAGCAGACCAGAGATGCTGACCACACTCTGGAAGATGCAACGTGGTCACAGACTCAGGAAGGGAGGGAGCCAATGAGATCCCCAGGAAAGCCCAAAACCGGACACACCGGACATCGTGAAGGCTAAGGGTGCCAATGGGAACCTCAGCTCCAAGTCTCCACGTGGAGCTACCGGGTTTCCACTCTTAAAACAGATGTAGACAGTTCTGTCCTGGGAGAATGTGGCTCAGCGGAGGGCAATGAGGTCATATGCACAAGTGCATGAGGCCTAAACGTGAAAGGCGAGATGCTGGGTCCCATGGCCTAACCGCTCCCTCAACTCAGCCTGGAGATGAGAACACTGTTCTCCGGAAAAACAGACCCAGAATCAAAACATCCTCGTTGGGTACCTACCCTTACCGCTGCACGAAACTGGCGGGGTCACATCACGTGCCCCATCACCCGAATGGGAGGTTCAGCTATCTTGAGCCCCATTCTTAAACACCACAATAGCCAAGGACACTAGACATTTGAGGAGAACTTCCAACACAAAGGTCAAAGACCAAAGCCAACAGATGAAAGGAACTCAGGAGGCTGAGATAAGGCAGGGAGCAGAAGAAAATTGTACTCAGCATCTCCAGAGAGAGGAGATACTCCGCCCAGTACCAACAACAGGGGCTCAAAACCAACCAACCAACCAACAAACAAAAAACCCTCCTGAAAAGCAGAACAAAAAAGGAGGTGGAAAATTCAGCTCCATTCATAAGTGCAACAACCTACAACAGGAATTCCCGAATGGCAGGATGAAGTAGAAGGGGAAGAAATTATGAAAGAAACATACAAGAAAACTTCCCAAAACCTCAGGGCGGGAGCTTCCACATGGAGAGGGCCCACGGGGTGCCCCACACGAAGAATAAAGAACCCACCACTTGGGGGATTCTACAACACTGGGGGTAAAGGCAAGATCCTCAAAGAGCAGGTCGCATACCAGCATTAAGGATCAGAATCCAGCTGACTTTCCCAAAATGACACTGGAAGCTAAAAGACGGGGGAAAACTTGCCTTCAAAATTCAGGGGCAGGGGTGATTTCCAGCTTAGAAATGGATTCCCATGAAATTCCAAATAAGATAAGAGAGTAGAAATATCTGCAGATAATTTTCAGATTGCAAAATGAAAAACCAGAACTCTCACGGACGCTTCTTGCCAGGAAGCTCCTGGAAGAAAAGGACTGACCAAAGAGGGAGAGCAAACCACAGACGAGGAAAAAAAAAGGCATCCAGGGAACAGGTGATCGAGCACAGGAGAGGCAGGCAGGCGTCCCAGCATGGTGGTGAGAAGACCTAGGACAAGAGCCGAGCAGTAAAAGTGGCCAGAAAGCAGCCAGTCAAGACCAGAGCAGGAAGAGCAGGGCTTGGGGAAGACCCAGAGCCAGCAGATACGCCCGTGTGTCTGACAGCACGGAGGAGGGTTTCTCTCTCAGAGTCAACTGAAGCATTTGGGAAGAAATTAATGATAGATCCACAGAAAGTAGAGCAAACCAAAAAGCAAGGCGAGCAATAGCCAGAGGAAAATAAAAAGTGATACAGGGGAATGTTAGCCTGGGACACTACACGGCTCAGCTCTGATCAGTATCTACAGATAGGTGACAGTGTAAACACTGAAGGCAGACTGAGAAAAAACTGTGGTCTAGTCACGGTGAAAAGATGAAGAGAAGGGGGGGGGGGGGGGGGGCGGGGATTGGGGTAAGATACCCAGTCAAAGCGTTCTACAATCAAAGGTCACTATGGAACCCTATCTGAAATTGAAAAATTGAGAACCAATAGTATAAGCATATTTTTAGGTTATTTTAAGAATAAAAAAAAGTTTAAAGGGTTGAAAATGCAGTGAACTTGGGAGTGAAGAGGAATCACAGTGATTTTGTGTTTCAAGTGCGTGCACTAGTGTCTGCACGAGAGTAAAATGTTAGTTGTAATTTTGTTAAAGAGAAGAACAAATGTCTGCTCAGTGGCCAGAGAGAGCCCAGCGGCCTGGCTCTGAAATCGGGGTCCTCCGGCACAACCTGACCCCTGATCCCCCTTTGGCCCCTTCCTGGGTCTTCAGACACCAAGAAGGAAGGGTGGAGTGGGAGGGGAATGAAGGGGGGGCTCTTCTTGAATTTTAAGGGAAGCCCTCCAACCCCAACTATGCCCTGTAGATGGAAGGGCAAGGGGAGGGGGTCCCACATGCTGAGCAGAGCTGCAGAAAGGGGGCAAGGCAAGGCCCAAGCCCACCAACTAGGACATGAAAAGCTGGTGAACTGTGGGGCAGCCTGAACTCCCCTCCCCGCAGCTGCGGTGCTGGTGCTGGTGCCATTCGTGAACTCCCTGGTTGCTGCGGAGAGGCGGGGGGGTGGTGGATAACTGTTGCTAGGACACATGCTTAGCAGGGAGGCAGACTTCTTACCAGGGCCTCTAAGTGGACCAAGAGGAAGGTTGGGACAGGCGGGGCCTGAACAAAGAGGCTTCTGGAGCCGGGGTGGGGAGGGGGGTACCCCCAGCCAAACGTCTGCTACTGTCTCTGGGGCACAGAGTGGGGACGGCACAGACACTGCCCCGGCTGCACCCCACTTCTGGCAGGCACTTCGGTGTGTGGGGCCCCGTAGCGAAGGGAGACCACACCTGCCCCTAGACCAGACAGGAGAGGATCCCCCCCTAGCAGGGAACAGCTTTGTGCGTCTGAGGGAACCAGTGGGCAGAGGCCGCTTCTGGGCCCCCACTTGCAATTGGCACATGATTGGAAAAGGATTCTCAACAGTAGCGCAAGCAGCTCCCCAGGAACCCAGGTTTCTGTGGACCCTGCTGCTTCCAGGGACATCAGGCATCAGAGCCCCCCTTATGCCCAGAGCAGGGCCCCATCTGGCCTCAGCATTCTCACCTGGCAGAGCCAAGCTGGGAATTCGAGGCGGCCACCTGCACTCGCAGGGGCGCGGGAGGCATGTGATCAAGGCCCTTGTTCTTTCAGAAATCCTGGACTGAGGGAGCAACTACCCGGTGCCCGGCTCTGCTGACGTGGGCTCCCAGCCTGTTCCTGCTCTCACCCCTGCCACTGCCTTGCCCTAGGCCCCCGGATGAGCCTCTGACCCATCTGTACCCGGGGGTTTCTGTCTACAAACAGACAACGTCTTTGCTGCTCACTCCCATCAGAAACACCAGACTGAGAAAAGAGGCACAGGGGGAGGCTCCCGGTTTGCCAGCGTCCCTAAAAGTGCCATGGGAGCCCTGTGGCCAAGTGCTACACATGGGGCCGTCCCCTGCACGTGGGGGTCCAGACGGGAACCCTGAAGTGGACAGAGAAGCGAGGCACAGCCCGGGCTGAGGGGCTCCGGGCTCCCAGGCCCACCCGGCGCTCCCCGGCACCCCAGCCCAGCCCACACGCCCTCCTCACCCTCATAGCAGTCCCGCACAGTGCCGAAGTAGACGTAGTACTGGTCGTTGGTGAAGAAGAGAAGGCTGAGCCAGGAGTCGAAGGCGTAGATGGGCACGATGAAGAGGATGCGGACGATGTAGCGCTGCTCGTTGGGGCAGCTGTAGCAGCGCAGGTGCATGTAGATCTGCGGGCAGATAGGGGTGGGCTCAGCTAGGGAGCCCCCCACGGCAGCCCATCTGCCACCTGCCACCCCTGTACTCCACGGCCAAGGGGACAGTCGTGTCCTGCTATTTGCCTCCGCTGCTACCTGGTGCCGTGACCAGTCCTCGGCCCTGAGCCCCAACCCCTCCTCGGCGACGGAGCTCCCACCACAAACCCGGGGAGCAGAGCTTGTAGGGTGCATTCAAGGGGCCCAGGCCAGCGTCACAGACGTGGGGGCCATGAGACCAGGCCCAGGACTCTACGGATCAGAGGAAAGCATGGTCGGGGATGCAACAAGTGCCCCAGGGCCTGTGCACCCAGCCAGTTGGGGAACCTGGGGCGAGTGGCACAGAGGAGGCCCTCAATGGAAAGGCAGATCTCCTTGCCAGCACCCCGGCCTTCCTGATGCCTTGTCCCCGGGGTTTTAGGGCAGCAGCGTCCACCCTGTGCAAGGGACAGAAGGGACCCTCGCTTCCCCAGAGGCAGAAGCGCTTCCCCAGTGAGTGGCTACAGTGATGTCACTGTCACCCGGCGTCTCCCTTTCCCATGTGTCAAACAGAGCCGCGCTGCCGGCCCCACGGGGAAGGGGGAGAATGTGGTGCAGTTTTTAGAAAGCAGGAACTAGCAGCCACACGCGAAGGCCAGCAACTGCTCCAGCCACACTTCTCAGTCCCGGCAGCCAGAGTCCCGGCCCAGCTCTCACAACTGCATACCCGGCCCGCCGCGTCCTGGGCTCGGGGAGTGGGGGCGGGGGTTGGGGGTTGGGGGAGAACAAAATCTCCCCCAGCTGCTAGGAGCCAACTGCCTTGGAAGCAATCAGGTTCAAGGAGGGACAGGGACACTGAGCAGCAGGAGAGGAGCTGACAGGGGACCCAGACGGGCTCAGCCGCGCTTCTTCAAACCTTCTTCCTCGGGCAGCCCAGGCAGGCCTCCTCTGGGACTGTGAGTATAGGGGGACAGGAGACCTGCCCTCCATCCTGGCTCTGCCACCAGCCTATGCATGATTAGGCCAGCACCCCACCACCTCTATGTCTCAATCTTTTCCTCTGCAAACAGGTCACTGACATCCATGTGCCTCTGCAGGGCCCCCTACAGCCGAGGCAGCCCATGTGACCTGTCCTGTCCCATGGACGTGAGCAGAAGCCTGGCCTCATACCCTGTGGGGACTAGAAAACCTCTGAGGACCCTTCTGCAGGGCCTCCCGCGGCTCTCCGGCTCAAGAGCCCCGGGCTGGCCTGGGTACCTGGTGGCAGGTGATGAGCAGGGCCGTCCAAACGAAGAACCCGGAGATGGCCTGCGCGGCCGTTGTCATCAGGAACACAGGCTGCTCCATGGCCGTGGGGCTGCCCTCGGGGATCACAGACACGCTGGGCGGCGCTGCCATGGTCGTGGGCGACACTGGATCTGGGGCCAGCGCGGCCCCCCTCACTGTCATGGTGCCTGGCAGCCGGGGGTCCCTGAGACAAACCCTTGCAGTAGACAACGAGCTGGCCTAAAGAGAGGACACCGCAGCGTTAGCCTCCTTCCCAGGGAGCGGCAGCGTGGCCAACAATCTTCCAGGCCTCCACGTCCACCTTCAGACTATAACTGGACTCTGACCACGTGTGTCCTGGCCCAGCCCCACCGTGTCTCTCCTGGATTCGTTTAACAGGTACCTGAGCAGTCACTCGGCTTCTGCCTTGGCTCCTACTGTCCCATCCCCACAAAGAAGCCACAGGAGGCTTCTAAGACCTTCACTACCCTGGGCCCCCCTTTGTTCAAACCTCCCCAGTAGCTCCTAACTCCTTCAAAGTATAACCTGCTGTCTGTATAACGGCCCCCAAGACTGGCCAGTGGCTCCTTGTGGTTCTCATCTCCCTGCTACCTGCTGCAGAGACCCTCCCCCGCAACCACGCTGGCCTCCGGCCCCCGGACCTCTGCTCGGGCTGCCACACAGCATCCATGGGCACCTCCCTTAGGTCCCTGCCCTGACCACCCACGCATGCTGGCGACACCTCCCCTGCTCCAGGCACTCCCGACCCCTTTGCTTTCTTTTTCTCCAGAACTCTCCTTCCGACCCCCCCGCCCCCCCGAACCCCCCCGCCCCACCCCGACTCCCTCTGACAAAGCTACATTCACTCATAGGTTTAGAACACAAGCTCCCCGAGGGCTGGGCCGGGGGGGCCCCATCCTGCTCCCAGCACCTGTCACACAGCAAACATCTGCTGGGTCTGTGCGTCGCCACACCTCCCTGTCTCGCAAGGTCACTTGGTGGCTTTCTCTCTTCGAGGAGGGGCTGTGCCTTCTCTTTGACATTTCTCCCCAACTTCCCAGATAGCCGGCCCCCCGTTCATCATCCACCTGAGCTGTTTCAGGAGACTCTGTAGCCACCTTATGTGCCTTCAAACTGCTCTGTCTTAATTCAGTTTTCTGCATCCCTCTTCCTAAAAGGCTGCCCCCTATGCTTCCCCCAATCAGACTCCTCTCCACATCACACGCTGTCATACTCCTCATAACAATGGCTCTGTCCCTTGCTTGTGTGTATCCCCCCGCGGCCGTCCACTCTCTGCAGCAAGAACAGCATTTCTGTCTTTTGATCCCCAGCACCAAGCTCAGCACCAAAGCCATTTATAACATTTACTTTGTTACCTACTGATCTTCAGTCCTTATTTTAAAAAAATTTCAGGTATTTCCTAGAAAAGCACACAGAGATGAGCAAGTTGGCATACCAGGAAATTCTGGGTGGGAAAATAAAGATGGGAGTGGGTGGGACACAGGCTGGCCTTCTAGGGTCCTACGGGCCCACCCAGTCCCCCCACACAGGCTCTCCGTCCGCTGCTCTTCCCAATGGCGACTTCAAGAGCCATGGTAACAAATGAACAATTTCACATTAAAAATGAACCCAGATGCCCTCAGGGAAGAGCTGCTGTCCGAGAACAAAGCAACTCCAGAGAGGCTCGTCACTGCTGGACCCAAGGCCATCAGAGCCACACCGTCCAACAGGCGACCCTTTCAGTTCTGCCAGCTGCCAACGGGCTGGTCAGCATCCCCGGAGCCACTTAGTGTCCCTGCAGCAGAGGCTCTGGGAGACTAAGCTGCAGAGCGACCAGAGGCTCCACTGACCGTGAAGCAGAGAGCGTGGACACCAGGGAGGGCACCCTGACTGCAGCTCGGGTCCCAGCTCCACCAGCAATCAGTCGTGGGTCCCCACACAGCTTTGCTGGGCCGGAAGGGTCTCTGCGGCCTGTGCAGGACACAACCAAGCCCCCAAACCTGACCATCTCAGCCTGAGCCCCAAGGTCAGCCCAGATGACCCCTCACGGTCCGGTCCCTTACAAGTCCCAGCTGATAATCTCGGCCAGAATATACTGGCATCAACGGAGGCTTCCGGGGTGCACCCAGGCCCACGGCCTGACTCTGGATGAAGAAGTTCTTTGCTTACGTGTCCCCACGCTCCTGGCTTTGCCCCCGGCCCCCACGTGTGCATCTGCTCTTAGCTCTAAGTTTTTACCCTAGGAGAGCCCTTTGCGTTTCTATTTTCCTGTGAAAATAAGTGATCTCTAACACACTGACCAAGAGCTGAATCTGGATTTAAAATCCAAACTGGAGAAGGCATCTATATAAAGAAACTCAAAACTGTTGAAGGTGTCTATATAAAGACTGGTGGCGAGCTCCGAGAAACAGTGACAAGTCTGAGAATAGCTCCTGCAAAGATAGTTGCAAAATTGGAAACCAGAGCCAGAAATACTTCTTTAAAAAAGAAGATTTGGGTTGTAAATCATCATCTTTGTCTATCATCCCAAATTAAATGAATAAACACAGGGAATTGGGGGGGGGGTGCTTAGAGGAAGTACAAATATTCCTAAATCCCCAGCTTCCAAGCACAGGCAGGCCGGTGCGGTGCGTCAAAGGCTGTTTTGTTCCTGCTGAAGGCGGCTTGGGGAGGCCGGGCACAGGGGCACAGGGGCACTGCAGAGCTGACCCTGTCCACAGGGAGTGGACCTGCACCAGGGACCTGCCTTGGCTGTGGAAGCTGAGTGAAGGCTCCAGGCCCAGCTTCTACCTGGGGCTCTGCTCACTGCCACTTGAGTGTCCCCCTACCCCAAGCCCAGAGAGACACTGGCATGCAGAGCTCTCTCGCCCTTACCCCGTGTAGGTCGCTTAGCTTACGGGCAAGAGAGCTGCTCAGACAGGGTGGGTGACTTGCCCTAAAATCAGGGATAGGACTCGAACTCAGGTCCTATAAACACATTGTCAGGCCCACCCTACAGAGTGGGGGCCCCGTGTGAGCGGCCCCTCCCGCGCCAGAGCCTCCTTCCAAGGGCCGGTCCTTCCTAGCAGGCCCGAGACCCTCCTTGCCAAGAAGGGAGAGAGGTCCTCTGCAGGGAGGCGCAGCGGGTGCTGGAAGGGCTCACCAGCCTGATCGCACTCGCCAGCCTTCTGGGTTTACTATAAGCTCTTTACCGAACTCTGGGCAGCGCTCAGTTTACACACTGTTTTCCCAAGCACCATCTCATTTTTTTTGCACAGCAACTTTGAACTAAGTACTATTAACTGCACATGATTCGAGGGTTTTCATAATATCCTCCCCCTCCCCCGCCAAAATACGTGAAGCAACATTCTGACTCACAGACGCATGGCCCCTGGCATGAAAGAACAGCAGGTGAGGCCGGCTCCTCCAAGGCTGTAGATCCCAGAGGCTCGCCTTGCTCCCAGGGCCCAGGGCAGCACACGATGCTGGACCCTGCAGACTGCTCACAGTGTGTGTGCTGGGACGGGGGGATGGACACCGGGGTCCTGTCCTCTCACACTCGGGCGGCATCAACGGCCTCGGCCAAGGCTGGAGGGAGGGTCAGGGAAGGCTTCAAAGCGGCAGGGACTTTGGGGCAGAGTGTTTAAGGAGCAAAACCAAGCTTCAGCACTGGGGCCACCCAACGGGATTCCTGCCAGACCTCACCATCTGCGAGTGTGGACAAGTGACTTCATCTCTAAGAACCTGAGTTTCCCCATCTGTAACACTTCAGGGTAACTACAGAATGGATGAGGGCGTGTTCTACTTCACAGAAGTCCCAGAATGACTGGTGGCTCAGTTGGCTAAGCGGCTGCCTTCAGCCCAGGTGGTAAGCCCAAGGTCCTGGGATCGAGTCCCACGTCTGGCTCCTGGCTCAGCAAAAAGCCTGTTTCTTCCTCCCACTCTGCCTGCTGCTCTCCCTGCTTGTGCTCTCCCTCTCTGTTAAATGAATAAACGAAATCTTATAAATAAATAAATAAATAAATAAAAATAGAAGTCCCGTTAATGAATAGAGGCAGAATAATAGAATAAAATAATAGAACAAAAATGACCATTTTGCAACTCCTAATAAAATTCTGGATGTAGAGACAGATCATCAGTGGATGATAAAACCCCTAGCTAACACAGTCTGGGCAAGTGCAAATCTGAACCCACAGTCAAGATCGACATCACCAACACGGAGCTGCGAGAAGTCTCCAGCCTCCTGACGGGATACATAGGGAGCACACGCCACCACCATCTAGGGAGGACCCTTCCCCAAAAGTGAAATGGGATCAAAACAAGCCTCCAGAGCTACTAGGAAATGCAGAGGGTACTGGGACAGACTAAATGATATCATGAGGACGCAGCAGCCGAGTCTAGACCATGGGACAACCTACAGGACAAATGGCGTAGTTTCACCAACAAATCAGAGGCTTATAAACAAAGGTGCTCGAGGGGCTCTTACAGAATAAAGACTCGAGAGACATAACTAAATGCAACAAGTGGACTTTGTTGGGTCCTGATGCTAACAAACCAAGGATGGAAAGACCTCTTTGAAACAGGTAACACACAGGAATTCTGTCAGTTTCATCAGGTGTGATCACGGCATGGCCGGCACATAAACGTCCTTATCAATGGGGGGAGAATCATGTCTTCAATAAACAGCACTGGAACAGCTGGACATCCAGAGAGAGAATGAATGCTTAACCTAAACCTTTACACCATATACAAAAATTAATTTTAAATGGATCACAGATTTAAAGGCAAAATGCAAGACAATAAACTTAGAATTCTCAAACTCAGCAGTAAAAAAAATAATACAATTAGAAAATGGGCAAAAGGGGCAACTGGGTGGCCCAGTCGTTAGGTGTCTGCCTTTGGCTCAGGTCTTGATCCCAGGGTGCTGGGATTGAGCCCCACATCAGGCTCCCTGCTCAGTAGGAAGGCTGCTTGTCCCTCTCCCACTCCCTGTGTTTCGTTTCCTCTCTCACTGTCTCTCCCTCTCTGTCAAATGAATAAATAAAATCTTAAAAAAAAAAAAAAAAGAAAATGGGCAAAAGACATGAACAGACATTCCACTCAAGAAGGATACATGGAGGGACGCCTGGGTGGCTCAGTTGGTTGGACGACTGCCTTCGGCTCAGGTCATGACCCCGGAGTCCCGGGATCGAGTCCCGCATCGGGCTCCCAGCTCCACGGGGAGTCTGCTTCTCTCTCTGACCTTCTCCTCGCTCATGCTC